GTAAAGCAGTTGTAATCACATTAGCGCTTAAGAAATCAGTAGACAGGTTCGGGCGCTCGCGCCGAGTATACTAAATAGAATAGCAGGGGTATAAGAGTCAAGCTTTCTCCCCTACCTTTGATCTTCATCTTCATCTCGGCCAAAGGGTGCATGTTCGGGCAAACAAAAGGCGTCAGTGACGAATTGTAGAGCGTCAAGTTACCCATTCCAGCGGATTCACTTCAGCCATGGGGATCTAAAGTTTACAGTTAAAGTGAATCTGCTTTGGAAAACTCACTCAAAGAGATTGTCCAGCACTATCGGGCAATGAGCTGGAAACATTGATCTTGGAACATCGCAGCGACACAAGTCACATCATGGGCCTTCCGAAAGAAATGTATAGCTCTGGTAAGTATCAAGATCAAAACAATCGAAAGAATATGATCATGTGTCTTTAAGCTTACGACAAATCACCGCTCAAAAGGAAATTGTGCAACTTTATTTCACCGGCAGCTAAAAATCACAAAGCGTCGACACAATGAAAGCACTAAAACTGTAGGGAACCGGAAAGAACCCAAAACTTGTCATCATTTCCGATTGCGGTTGAACGTAGAGGGCGAAAAATTTTAGTAGTCGTCTTAGTCCCCTGAAGCATGTAAGACACAATCCCTGGTCGAGTCAATGTTTCGTCGAAAGAATTCGGCCGGGGAAATGCCTCTGAAGTGAGTCTGCATCTCCTTTTGTATGCTTTCCTCTTCAAGAGTTCGTCCGCGATTTTGATGACCTCTTGATCATTTTCTTCGTCTAATGGCTCCATTCCAGGGAAATTCGAAAAGAAAAACGAGGATTCGGAAATATATTTTCTGCTCACTGGTGCTACTAGCCAAAGCCGCCTTTAAATTCTTGGCCGGATCTGCTTTCTGATTGATTGCACGATCTCTTCAAAATCACGTTGCCGTCGCCGTCAAACAATTTGAAGAATTTGATCGAAGTCTTGGCAAAAGCATCGTAGTAGAAGTGCAACGTCGCCACGGACGAACAATCAAAGACGAACCTTTGCAGTCATACGCCCTGATGTGCAACGAAATTCTCTAAAAGCTTGCTCCACCTCATTTTCTTCGAACCAACCAGGGACCGGGAAAATCCCAGATTCTTCAATCATGGCCCAGGGAAATTCTCAAAAAATTCCAGCCAATCTTCGTCGTTCCACGCCTCGCATGGGATCACGGGTGTTTCACAGAGTTCAATTGATTCAGAATCCTGCCGGAACTCGTCACTGGATTCGTTTCTTGGGAGTAAGTGTAATTCCAATTTGTCACGGAGTGGATGCGTTTGCTTAGTGGAAGATGAATGGCCCCAAAACTTGAGAGGGATGATGAGCCGGGGAACTTCCCGAGTAAAATACGCTCGTCGAACCAGCCGATCGTGTCTACGGATTGCCGAAAACGAGCGATCGGCTCGCGAAAGCATCCATTGAAATCCCGCATTCACTTTCAGGGCGGACCAACTCGATCGTATCATCCACGTCCATTTCCATCAGCACTTTCCAACTTCAGATCGTAACAGAGTTTCTCCATCTGGAACGACGTCAGATTCCTCATTTCAAATGGCATCTCGAACGGCATTCTTACACCTGTAAAAGCAAACGATTCGTTTTTTGCCAGAAAATGAAAGAGAAAACACAAAAGTAATCAATTTTCGCGGCAAAATGGTTTTCTAATGTTGGTGGGGTCAAATTTGGCTCTGAATAAATCCTCTTCAGCCAATAACTGTCTAATTTCACAAAAATGAGAGCAATTAGCGATTTGTCTGGGGGAAAAGGTCAATAACAAGCAAAACCTCCTGAACAAAGCTTAAATTTCACAAAACCTGTCATATATCAAAAATACGTATGGTCCTTCAATCAAATCATCGCTCAAAAACACCTAAGTACGTTTTATTTTTATAAAATTACATCAAAACCTGGAACTTATCAAATCTAGATCCAAATGGGAGTTTTAAATCTAAAATGAGATTGAAATCTGCAACGAAATGCTAAAATAGCGCTAGTTCGCCGAATTGCTATTAGAAAGTGTTAAAAAAAGTTAAAACTGTAAAAACAGAAAAATCAAACGTTTAAGCCGCTTTTAGGGTGGAGAGAAGGATGAAAAATTTGAAAACTTTCGCCGATCCTTTCCTTTAGCTGAATATCTTGAATTAAAGGCAATTTTTAAATGCATTTTAGTCTTTTCGTTGCATTAAAGGAAATTTTAGTGCTTTATGATTTATAAAAGTTTCTTCTGAAACACTTCTGAGGTAAAGCTGACTATTTGCGGGAATCGATCACCCCGACGAGCAGAAAGATCTCTACCATGCGCTGGTCAATTTGTACATTGCTGATCGAAAATGCGACCTTGCGCTGAAGATCTACTTCTCGTCGAAAGAGAAATACATTACGTTTTCAGAATTAAACCCAAAGCGTGTTCCCTTTTGCGAAAAACAGACAAAGGCGCGACAAATTAAACAAATTACCATTTGAAGTTAAATGCAAAGTGAAAAGGACAAAGTTCGAAAATTTCAGGCAAACTAATTTTAACTCCGACTCGACTCGCGACGCATGTAGGGCCAGACCGAAATTTCAAACTTCTCGGTCCGACCCGGACCGAGACCGAAAACTCGGACTGAGGACCGGATCGAGTGCACATATCTAATAGAAGGCAAAAGAAAAGAGGAGAAGAAAAAGGACGCATTTCCCCTTTAACTAATTTAATTAAAAAGAAAAAGGAGATGAGAAAAACGCTTTCCTACTTCCCGATTATCTTTGTGCGCACGGCAAAAGTACGATAAAAATATAGGTTCTAATTTTAATGTATCTAATTTTGAATCCATTTGATGACTTCTTTTACTGTACTTTTTTTACTTAAAGTACTCAGGGATCAAATTCCTATGTGACTCAGATAGTTGTTTGACCTCAAAATTCAAATGCTTGAAAATGTGTTTTTAGCCGTTGAATCGTTCGTTTTTTACGTTTTTTGACATGTAATTTAACTTCAGTTTAACTAATTTAATCACAGCAAATACTCACACGGCACACAAACTAGTAAATATTCTTTTGAGATATTCTTTATAGGTAACGTTCGCAAGTGGGGCCGTTGGAATGTTTTACGTTTGATAAAGAAAACCCGGCACAAATGCAAAAGGTGACTAAATGGCGACAAGAAGGCAATCCTTTTTCAATGCCAGGCTTTTGAAACACACATACGCAAACAGTCCAACGTTCAGAGAGACAAAAACTAGTCTATCGGAATAAATGGCCAACTCAGAAAGTATAGCCAACATGATTGTGAAGCCCGAGAAGATTCCTTTTCTTTTGCCGATTGGATAAGAGAACTAATCAGGGGTATGCAAAGCCACTGGAATTCTGATGCAACTTTTTTTCAAGCGATCCCAAATTTGAACACAAATTAAGTGGTTTTGGGGATACTTTTACACTACAAGAAATTCGAAACTACGCTTCTATTATCATCAATTTTCAGTTTCATTTCGATTTTTTATTAGCGTCTGGGTTCAAGGTTTGGTTGTCCCAAGTTGCCAAGGCTCAAGCTATTCAAAAACTATTAAAATTATTAGCTGCTGAACCCCCGATTGTTAGCTATTTTTGACAAGGTTAACTCTTTTAGTGTTTTGCTCGCAGTCACAAAAAGTAAGCTGTGATGTCATCGCAACAACGCACGCTCCTTTTCACACACTAACGCTGCTTATGAAGCCTGTAAAGCTAAGCCTAAGCCCACGATTTCAAATCTCTAATCCATTCATGGCCTTACGGTGTTTAAAGGCCATATTCGTTTTGGATGTTCGTGGCTGTTTGGATACCCGCAAGCAAAATAGCCTTTGCAGCGTAAGCAGATTAATTTTCATTCAATAAAAAGTTACAATAACAATAACAATGATAAGATCGAGAATTTTGTTATTTGACGACCGAGATCGTAACCCAAAAATTACCATAACCAAAAATAGGTATTTCATTTAACATTTTCTTTTTCTCTAATGCACTTTTTCTTGTTTGTTTTTGCCAATTCAAGTTTCAATTTTTATTTTTAGGCGATGTCGAATCGATCAGAAGGGTTGGATGCATTTGAAGAGTTCCGAGATCGCGGCGAGAACGAGATGCAGGGATTTTTCGTGGAGTAACGTGGGCATATGCTGCTTGTCACTGTGGGAAAATTCTATTTATTATTTTCAAGAAAATGGGGGAATGGAACCGTCACCGCTGATCATCCGGTGAATAAGGACTCCAAATATAAATTCAATGTACTTGGGGTTGAGAGTAAAACAAATTTAGCATGCACTAAAAGTGTTTACCACTAAAAGAGACACCAGACTTCCATTATTTCAAAACATTTTCATTGATTGGGCATGCTTTCTTACTTCTTTATTAACGCACAGTTTATTGAAAAAGATTGAAACTATTTTGATTATTAATTTAGATGGCTTTATTGAATGAATATTTTTGTTTGAAAATGACGCTTTACTTATCGGCCAACCCAATACATTGCTTACGTTGCGACTCTTGGCATTTTGTAGGCATTCTGTAATTACTAAAATCATTCTGTAATTACCAAAATCTGCAAATTAGTCCAAGGGAATGAGGCAGTAAAGAGAGCTTTTCATTTTTTTCCATCTCACTCATTGTGAACAATTGCGGAGGAGGAGAGCTCGGACCCCAAATCTCTCCTCTCTTTTGATCTTTCTCATTTTCCAACTCATGGATGACTTTTTGCGACATCCTCCGATTACAGCTTTCCTGTCTTGAGTTCTTTTTTAAAATGGGCTCCTGCCTTTCTCTTTGTTTCTTTAACTCACAATTCTTACCAAAAATTTTTTGACGTTTTGTCCTCAATTGTTAAAATTGACAAACTTAAGAAAAATTTTCATTTTTGAACATTTCCCTACCAATAATACTGTATCGACTTTATAACTGAACGCTTGTAAATTTTTGTTTTTTTCTGGAACTGACTTTTGCTTTTGTAATAGGTAATAAAATGGTGAAAAGGGAGGAATTCGAAAACAAAGAAGAGGAGGAGACACTGTAAGTGTTTTGATTACCCTTTCAATAAATTTCCATTAGTATACCGCGTGTATTCTATTTTATGATACTAATATTTCTTAACCAAGAGACCAAAATTCCAGAGACGACGAAGAAGAAGAGGAGGAGGAAGAGGAAGAAGAAGATGATGGTGGGGACTCTGTTGTAGAAGCTGCACCAGCTGAGTGAGTTTATAGTTTTCTAAGTTAATAATGCTTTTGTTTTTCTCTTTAACTATTAGTCGAGCTTTTTCTCAAAATGTCTCAAAACTCAGAACCATTTCTGATTTATTTCAACTCTTAGCAAAAATTTGTTTCGCTATAGAGAGCCGGCAGCTGAACCTGAAGCCGAAGAGCAAGAAGATGGCGGAGAAGATGGCGAAGAAGAACCAGTACCCGAGGAGAAGTAATTATAATTTCAGCCATAATCAGAATCTTACAATGAATCCTTTTTCAGACCAGTTGCAGCTCCTCCTCCTCATCGTCGTGAACGAACTCCGGATGCTCCCGCTGAAATGACAGAGGCTGAAAAGGCGATGGTTGCCGCAAAGAAACGACATGAAGAAGAGGAAAAATTGAAGGTATAAAAACTGAAATTAAGATGGCACTCATGGGCTATACTCTCCGCAAGCACTTGTAAGTGCTATATGGGTGGTACCGCAGCGTGCAGCTGCAATGTACTTTCACTATTGAATGGATACTATGGTAAGCACCAAGCTGTCATGAGGGACTGTAATGGTTTAGAGATATGGTGTGCGGTAGTACCATGTTGAATGCTCCAACTGGCGCAGGATACTCTTGCGGGGGGTCTAGCCCATAAGGACCATTAAGCTAATGGCTTCTCAAATAGAAATGCAAAGAACAAAATTTTTGCAGATGCTTGACTACGAAGAACGAAGAAAGGTAGAGAAAGCTCAAATGGAGACCGAGCTGCGCGAGTTGAAAGATAAGCAAGAAATAAGACGGTACTTTTATTACAATAAAACTCAACGCAATGGCAACAAAATGATGACACTAAAAAACTTTGAAAAACACATTTAGTCGTGAAAGACAAAAGGAAGAGGCCGAATATGAAGAACGCCGCCGAACTGCTGAACAAAAGAAAAGACAAGAAGAAGAAGAAAGGAAGGCCAAGGTTTGTGAAAAGGAGAAAACATTTCAAAAAAATAGTTGGGACAATGACAACTTGCTTACAGAGTGAAGCAGAAAAACGAGCTCGTTATGATGAAAAACAAAGAAGACAGCAAATGATGGCTGGATCGTTTAATGCAGCTGCTTCGGTTGTTGCCGGTGGAAAGAATTTTACGATTAACTCAAAGGTGATCATTATGGCAGCACAGACCAAACCAGCACGAACCTTATAGAAGAAAAAGTTGAAAATTCTTTTTCGAAACTCTGATTTGATTGATTCAAGTTTGAATTTTAAAAATTCAGGGTGAACAAGCAGAGCAATTTGGTAATCTCTCGGGTGGCAAGGCTAACAAAAGTGAGATTTCTCAAGAACAACAAGAAGCCGCTAAAAAGGTAACTAGGTATTTTAATTTTTAACTAACCTTTCAGAAGTGATTCGTTTGGAGAAAATAAAATCAAATTCTAGGCTTTCTTGGAAGCTGTCTGCAAAAACATTGACGTATCAAATCTTCTTCCGAATGACATTAAAGAACACATCAAAAGGCTTCATGCACGAATTTGTCGATTGGAAGCTGAGAAGTGACATTATGAAAATTAATACTTGAATAAAACCAGATTTTCTGGGCTAAAACTACATTTAGGTATAGAAATTCTTGTTCAGTTGAGACCATTCAGGTATGATTTGGAGAAACGACATGAACGTCAAGAATATGATCTGAAAGAACTGAACGAAAGAGAAAGACAAGTAAGAAAAGAAAAATCAACATAAAATAAAGATAATACACTTATGGGTTTTGTTTTCAGGTTGCTCGTCAACGTGCACTCAAAATGGGCCTTGATCCGGATGAGGCAGCCAACTCAAAGCACCCACCAAAAAAAAGAGTTGCTTCGATATTCGATCGACAGGTGACAAAATTTTGCTGAATGGTAAGCCCCAAAATAAAAGGCAATGATGATTCTTGTCCAAAACTAACTTTTCAGACAGACCGAAGAACCTATGGAGACAAGCGAGAAATCTTTGAAGCCCCTATTGTTTTCAAAGCCAAATCGATCGTTCGTGGATCAGCCCGCCCACCGCCAGAATGGGGTAGAAAGGAGAATGAAGAGTTAGAACAGCTACGAAAGGTTTTTCACAAAAATTTCCATCGATATCATTGATTTCAGATCATTGAGCCCCCAAAATATGTGGAGCAAGTAAAAGCGGAAGGCGACGCAGCCAAACCGCCCGTTTCTGCTATTCCTCTTCAAATGCCCACTGAAGATTTTGATGTTAGTGAAAAAAGTAACACAAGAATAAGAATGGGATAATATAAATAAATTTTCCAAAACCAGTTGGTAAATTGGTTTTAATTTTGATTTGAAGCTACTATGCTAATTGTTCAGCATATTCCTTACTATAAGATAATTTTGTTCTATGATTACTCAAAAATAATTTAGGAGTCTCTTCCAACTGAGCCAGTGAAGCCAAAGTATGATTTCCCATCAGCTGGGGCTGCCGGACATATGCTGGGAGTACCGTCTGGTGCGGAAGCTGGTGATGAGCCAGAACCACAAAATGTGAGTCTTTGGCTTTCATTTTGAAATAGCAAGAAAAACATGGCCTGAATATGAGTGCCTGTCTTAAGCAAAAGAATACGATGTTATATCAAGATCATTATGCATGGCTTCATAAAAAATATTGCTTTCTATCAAATTTGTTTCAACTTCTACTAATGTTTCCAGTTTATTAGGCTTTTTTTTGCTTTACACTACATACTTATGGATGTTTGGTTGATAGGTTGATCCAACACCGGCTGATGCTCCCTCTGATGATACTCCAGGCGAAGTTGAACCCGAGCCCGCATCGGAGCCCGCATCGGAGCCCGTCGCAGAGACAGAGGCTGAAGAGGTCTTTTAAGCACGCGATTTGTTAGTAAGAGATAATTTTGTGATATTATGCCAGATCCGGCAGGAAAATGAGTTGCTCGTGTCATGATGCCAACCCAACACCCAAACTTTAATACCTAACTAACACATCAATACTATCATACTACTACCACTTTCCCACGAATAAATAAAAATACCTAATACAACTGAAAAGCTCAAGCCCATTATGTTTCAGCCCGAATCAGCCGAGGTCGCCGCTGGTGATGATGAAGAAGAGGAATAGACGCAAAATATTAAATGATCAAACTATTTTTGGGTTTTTTGCGCTATTATAGTGCTTGCTTTTTATAGGTCTCCGAGCTTTTTTCTCATTGAAGATTCTTTCACCTTTTCATCTTTCTATTTTCATCTCCCCAAGGTCAGAATACTTGGCTGTCTAACCTGTTCAAAAATAAAAGCTTAAACTTGTTTGAGCAAAATATGTAATTGCAACACTTTATTTTTAGAAAGAAACTAATTGTTTCCGAAAATTTTGCCGCCAATTCCAATATAGGTCCCCTTTTCATCGTTGCCTCGAATGAAACAGCTGAAATAGCAAAGGTATACCATTTTTCGTTACAATATTATATTGGGTTGTTTGATGATGATCAAGTAACAAAATGTAACGAAAAAGAATTAACTTCGTCACATTGTTGCTGACAATGAATTGAAGTTTGCAATTGATCTAGAACGGTCTAAAACGAGGTCTAGAACGGTTATTTCTCATTATTTAACCACCTAATACGCTTTTGGGGAGATTGGCATAAGGCGAAAGGGAACATGAGAATTTAAACAAAGGAATTAGCCTAAAATTACATGTAGTTTTTAAAAGCAGTCAATTTCTATTAATGATTTAGCTGTATTTTCATGATGAATAACGATGAATTTATTGGTATAATACTTAAAACCTGACCGAGCACTGTCAATTCCAAGAAATTTGCCGATAAGTGGATAGATTTGATCGCAGTGTGGTTGATTTTTCTCCCTAAGGCTTCCGGCTAAAATTGAAGAAACCCAATTTTCAGAGCTCAAAGTCGCTTTTTGCTTGATTCAGTTTAAAACACAAAACATGAAATCGAGTACCTGAGATTAGATCCACCCAGCAGTGGGTGTATCACTTCCACCCATTGTGGTCCGCTCGCCGGGCAGAAGGCGGACCATTGCAAACTAATTGTAAAAAGGTGATTGGTTGCGTAAGACACGTTTTGAAAAATTGCAAGGTTAATTTAAAAACAACATTCCATGTCTTTCTTTACCGGTTCAGGTCGATGAAGCATCTTTGTGATGGCTTTTGCCATCTCGACATTGAAGTCGGTAGGAATTTTGTCTCCAGAAACATTTGTAAAAATATAAATAGCTGGCATGAATGCTGGTGAATGTTTGAGTAACTGATTTTGTTTTAAAGCAATTATTTATACCATTTTGGATGATCACCAAAAGGCTTATTTGAAACTCAATCGTATTCGATTATTATATATAGAAAAATGTAGATTCATTATTTCAAAACGAGAGAAAATCCGTTTTTTCTAAGCTTACACGAAAGCGAACTGAATTTTTTTGGATTTTATTGAGTTTTACGCTTGCCACCCTACAGCATTGAAATTGAAAGCATTTTTAAAAAGTAGACGTGCTAGTAATGCTTTATAATGATCACCATATAGATTTTTACTTTGAAATCCGTTTACAAAAGTTTTCAAAGAAATACAAAAACAAATGATTAATTTCTTTCTCTATGCTACGAACAAAAGAAGTTATTTTGAATTTAGGCTTTAAATTAAACGTCTTATTGAAATTCTTGTGTGGAACTGTACTGACTGATATTTGAATTGTAATTATTGATACAGTGATATGTTCGAAGACAAAATAAAAACAATTTTTGAAAAAATTGAAATTAGTATGTAGAAAAACAATATGTTGAATATCATCTATTCTCCATCAGCCAGAATTTCTGGGGCCTCTCCTTCCGCGGCTACCTCATCGTAGTCTTGGCCGGGTTGTGGAATCGATTCCTGAAAATTTCGTAAAGTAAAAAAAACATAAATTGAGTTGCCTGCATTTTTCCATTTTTAGACTTTTCAAAACTTTAAAAAGTTTAGTTTAAAAAGAGATTTCTGATCTCGGTTCTCAATGATCTCAATGATTTGTAAAGTTGTAAGGAGTGAATTTTCCTTACATCAAAATCCTCGGTAGGAATTTGGAGTGGTTTAGGAGCAACGGGAGGCTTAGCCGCATCTCCTTCTGCTTGGACTTCTTCACGATATTTTGGTGGCTCGAGGTTCTGGAAAATTGTTAATCAATGCTAAATTTCTCAAAATGTTGCACTGATTTTCATTACCTTCCTAATCTGCTCCAATTCTTCATTGTTCTTTCTTCCCCAGTCAGTTGGTGGACGAGCCGTTCCTCGGACAATAGACTTTGGCTTGGGGGTGAGGGGACTTTCAAAAAGCTCTCTCTTGTCACCATATGTACGACGATCGGTCTAAATTCATGAAGTTAAGAAGAAAAAGTGCACTCGCCTTTCATAACATATGTCTTCAATTTAAATCTATTTAAATCCAGATTTAGAACAACTCACCTGGCGATCGAATTTTGAGGCAACGGTGAGTTTGGGTGGATGAACCGACGAGGCGGCCTCATCAGGATCAAGACCTCTTTGGATGGCCTTCTGACGGGCCGCTTGCACTTGTCTTTGGCTCAACTCCTTCAAGTCGTACTCTTGACGCTCGTGACGTTTTTCCAAGTCATACCTAAATGAACGGATTTAATGATTAATTGGGTGCATATACAAAGTTAGAATTGCTAATAGTAAGATCAACCATCTTACTATTAGCAATTCTAACTTTGTATATTTTCTATAAGCTCTTACTTCTCAGCTTCCAGCCGGCAGAGTCGAGCATGGAGTTGACGAATTTTCTCCTTCAAATCATTGGGTAGAAGCCCCGAGATATCAATATTGCGGCAAACAGCATCCAAGAAAGCCTATTTTTTGTAATTTTTATATGTTTTATAGCTATCAATGTTCAGTAGTAACTCAAAAAACTAACGCTTGTTTAATACCTACCTTTTTAGCAGCAATAGCCTGGTCAGCGGAAACGGCTTGTTTATTGGGCTTGGCACCGGTGAGATTTCCGAATTGTGAAGCCTGGTCACCCTAAAAGCGCATTTCAGATTCATTTCAGATTCATTTCAAGCACACCTTTTCAACGGTGAAGTTTCGTCCGGCCCCGGCTTGAGCTTGGGCGTTGAATGCACCAGCCATCATGAGTTGTCTCCTTTGTTTCTCATCGTACTTTGCGCGTTTCTCGGATTCAACCTAAACTTAGTGCTTCTTTTCGGTTCATCTTACCCTGATCGTTTTAAAATTCTATCAAAACTATTGGCAAGTCAATAACAAACTAAAATGGTAGGTCACTACAGTTAACCATTACCTTTGAAACAAAAAACCAAACCTTTTGTTTTCGCTCCTCTTCTTCTTGACGACGGCGATCCTCTGCATGGCGACGACGCTCTTCAAATTCTTTCTCCTCCTCGAGTCTCTCACGTCTAAATGAATGGCGATATAAGCCAATCGCTGTGGTACAGTTAGGGTACATGCGAAGCATGTGCCTGATACTTGTCTTTTTGGTTGTCTCACCTGCGAACTTCTTGTTTTTCCTTCAATTCACGAAGCTCGGTCTCCATTTGAGCTTTCTCAACTTTTCTACGTTCTTCGTAGTCAAGCATCTAGAGCCAGTAACAGTTTGCATAAAATGAATGCATTTTATACAAACCTTCAATTTTTCTTCTTCTTCGTGCCTTTTCTTAGCGGCCAGCATAGCTTGTTCGGCTTCGGTCATTTCCACAGGAGATGGAGTTCTTTGCGGTGGAGGAACGGGTCGAGGTCTAAAAGCTTCACATAGTTTTACCACAATGCTTATTATACATGTTGTCAAACCTTTATTATTCGATTCTAATTTTCATATAAAAACAAATTCAACTTTCAAACCCACCTTTCAACTTCAACGGGGGCCTCCTCTTCTGCTTCCCTAAAAAGTTTCGTGGGCTCAATACAAAAATTCAGCAGTAAATTACATTTCATTTTGTGGATGAGGTGTGCAACATGAAGCAAAATCCTTTAAGTTGCTCTAACTATAAGAAAACTAACTCAGCAGGAGGGGCAGCAACAGCTTCAGCTTCTGCCTCGGCTTCTTCCTCATATTCTTCCTCTTCTTCGTATTCCTCCTCGTCTTCGCTGAAAAATATCAGCAATTAGGTAGCCATAATTAACGTTTATAAGTAACAGGGGCTAGTTTTTTTGTTTATCGAATAAAACTTACTACTCTTCGTCTTCCTCACGGTAGTGCTTCCAGACCATTTTGTCTAAAAACTGTGTGAAGCGGTCAAAAATTTAAAAATTTGAGGCAAAAATAATTCATAACTATAAATAAAAATTCTTCGAAGGTTCAAGCAAATCTTGATTTAATTGTAAGGAGAGCTCTGAGCTCATTTTAGATTGAAGGAACCGGGATCGTTGTGGGGGTGGAGGAGCAAGAAGAGAATGCAGAGTAAAAAGTGCTTCAACAGAAGAAAGAAAGAAAACAAGGGGTTAGAGAAAACGAAGATCCAATTTTGAGGCTAAAATAAAGACAGGAGAAAGTGAAAAGATTTTTGTGTTGTAAGACCCAGAAAGCATAAAAAGAAATTTCCAATTTCTCTTGATCTCACTTTCTCTAGTCTTTCGCTTGTCCATTGTGTTTCTTTTCTTTGTGATTTGTGATTTCCATATCGAAATTCTCTCATTTTCTTTCCTGTCTCTTCACAAACCGAGACACCCGCACACAGTGTAATCCCCCGCAAGCAATCACTCGTTAGAGAAGAAAAGATAGGATGGGGAATGGAAATCTGGAAGTGTGTAGGGATCTTTCTTTCCTTCACTGAGACCAGCTGTCAACCTTTCGAAGCTTTCTCTTTTTTGACTGCATATCCAAAAAATGCCGTGCCAGCGAGAAACTTTGGGAAGTTACTGAGTCAAACTTGAAGGCAGACGCTTTCACAAAATAGGTGGTTAAAGGGGCTACTAAAAAATTGAAAAAGTTCTAAACAAAATTATGGCTTTTTTAAAAAATATTTTACAATTTGCTATTTGGACATTCAGGTATGTTTTTGATGAAAGGGTTTGTGAATCACAAAGTTAATTTAGTGTAAAGATGAGCTTCATTTTTTCCCTAAAAAGCAGCATCAATAGAATTATTTATCTATCTTTAAAAGGATTACTACTAAATAGACCTTTTTGTTTTTGGACAAAATTTCATTTGATTTCCTTTTCTCGTTGGTTCAAAATGAGTTTAATTGTTTTGGCAAGTTTCAAAGGGATTCTTTTCCAAGGGATGAGATCGTAGAGTTGATTGGAAGTGAGACGAATCATGAAAAGATTTTATCTACATTCAAAGTTTCGCTTATTTTTGTAGGCTCTTATAAAAATGAACTGAAAGTAGACACTACTGATTGTAAGCGACGACGTGACTTTTATATTTTGAGGACGACTCAAACTTCGAAGTGAAAAAAAATGAATATAAATGCAAACTAAACCGTTAGCCTAGAATCATTTTGCATTCACTTTGAAAAAAGCATCATTATTGTTGAGGGTGTTCGGTGATCATCAAGAAAACATCCCTTCGATGTCTCTCTTGCTTCTGATTAATTATTAACCCGTCCAGACCCCAATGACTTCTCCGAGGACCGGGACGTCACCTTATGGTAGCTTGAAAATGTTTGATCTCTAGAGACTCTTTTGTTTGCAACAAAATAAAAATGAAAATAAAAATTTTCCCTCCTTTTTTGAATCGATCAAATTTTGCAAAAACTCGTTGATCGAGGTTTTCTGTCCATATTTTTTACTAGCTAGTTAAACACCAGTTCATTTTGTGACAAGACATTCAAACAAACGATCTGATAAACAACAGATTTTATAAGGCAATAAGACTCACTATGCTATTTTTGCTTGCTCCTGAGCTCCTATGCTAAGCTTTATTCTTTGTCCATATTTCGTTCTGGTGATCATAAAACTAAATCAAAAAGTTTTGTTTTCGAGCCTCTAGCCTGTTGACCTCAAAAATTCTTTTCAATCTCAAAATTTCCCGCCTACAGCAAGCTTTTCAAAGTTTTTCGATGCTATTGTTAGGTGGAACTCGTTAGGAAAATGCTTTTTCAACGAAAACCCATCTCAGAAGGAATGAAGAGATGGAGAAACAAACACTCTTTTCCATTTTGGGGAAGAGACCCCATCAACCCTTTTCCCTCCTCCTCCAAAACAGCCAAAAACCCCACGTGCGCGGCGTGTTTGCAAGCAAAAAAACTTTAATCTCCGGCCACCTAACTTCTTCGAAACCCCAAAAACTAAGGGGACACCCCACTATGAATTTATCTTTCCATTGAGTCCACTGAGAGTTTGTGAATAGAGACTTCTCTTGAGTCACCTTGGGTCAAAAGGCTTTAGTTGTAACTATTGTATTTACTATGTGATCAAAAATATGATGCCTTGCTGTAGAGATGCTGTAGAAAAGTTGTAAAATTAATGTTTTAGAATCTCGAATTAGCTTAAATTTTGGTTTCACTATTGCTGTGTAAGTCAACAAATTGTTATCATTGAAGGAATTGGAGGAACAATGACCAAAAGCTCGAACCTAACAAATTTTTTGTGTTTCTAAATAAAAACGACGGATAACGAAATTTTGACTCGATTTCTCGTTGTTGTCTGGATTTTTCTCTTTTCGGAGATGTTCTTTTTGGAGGAACCTAATTTTTCAAATAGGTTTTATCCTCTCTCTTTTTTTTTCTTGTGCCTCTTTAAAAAGGTATAAAATTACCCTCCACAATTGTTTTTTCACCCAGGTTGTGGTTTGTTTTGTTGTTGTGATGACCCTTGTCTTGTTTAGTTTTTAATTAAAATTTGACACAAATGCCTTATTTTCCCATTAGTTTTCCGAAAGTGCGAGCCAATTTTTCAAATATCTCTGCGTTTTTATGGGCTGGCTTCTTGCAGCCGGTGGGTTTATTGTATTTTTAATCGAACTTTTCCAATTTACTGAGAACAAAAAGCGGTAGAACAAACAGTTTCAGAAATCTTTTGCGCACATAAATTTTTACATTACATTAGCCTTACCGTATCTTTACTTCCAGAACTAATAATACACGTGTATTTACATTATTTATCGAGAAACACAATCCACTAATGGACTCTCATTTGTATGCAAAGAATGTTTTCTCCTTGGAAAAACTTTATTGAGAGAGTTTTGCACGTTTGGAGGGTGGGGCCCTTTAAAATATTCAGCTTTTTCTCAGCCCAGCTTTCGATCACTTATGCAATTAACATCGTCGAAATTGGTAGAGAAGACATGCATTTTTCATACACTTTCTCTGTTTAAGTTATAAACTAGAATAGAATTACCGGCTTTATCTTGTTGTTCCTGTTGGAAAATGTATGATTTTAAAAGTCTCTAATCTGCTAACCTGTGGTTGATATGCGCAAAGTTTTAATTTTTAACCTATTAGGTTGGAAAGAAAGTACTCGGAAAAGTTTGACTGGAATTCCTTAAAAAGGAATTCACCAACTCAAGAAAATTTTGTTCTATTATTTACAAGTCGACCCCAAGAAATTGCTCGTAAAAATGAGTGCAGCTTTCCCTTAAAATTGAGATTTTTGAAATTTTTATTTTCCAGCTTAAATTCAGCTCACTTTTTGCACCATAAATACGATTCCTTATGTGGTAAAGCTAGCATAAATGAGTAATACCCTCTATAAGCTCTATTTTTGGTCAAAAATTTTTACCGAGAAGCTGTATTTCAAAAATAATTTTTGGTGTCATCTTCTTGGCACTGAGTGTTTGCTAAAATAGGTCATTCTGAAAAGTTAAAGCATTAGATACAATTTACCTTAATCACAAATTTTCCCTATTTTAAGTACTTCATTTTAGGTTTTGAATGGGACCCATTGCCTATCCATTAGCCCATTAAAAACTTGTCTAAGGCTGGTCACTCAAAAAATGGCCAAGTCACTTCAGCTGAAGAAATCTCATTTTTTTTACCTTAAGCCCACTCTGAGTTTTTGTGAAAAACTTTTTGAAATATAGTTAAATTTATTAAAAAATCTGGGAAGAATTCATGGCTTGGTTTTTGAGAAATCACTGTGCAAACTTTTTCCGAGAACTTTCTTGCCAACATAATATAAATGCAGTTTATCTAAACGTCGACAATAATAGGATTTTTAACTAACAAGGCAGCTTATTCATTCATATTCTGTGCTTAACATTTTTTTTGAAGTCTACGAAAACTGAAACCGTTAATTAGAAGGTTTCCTTGTGATGTCTCAATATCGAAAGACTTCCATAAAAAGGAGTAAAGATCAAAGAAAGAGTGCCTTTTCTAGAATCTTCTCACTAATCCTATGTGGAGAAGCTTACTAGTGTTAATCATCATCCACCCCCACTAGTTTGATTTTTGAAAGTGTAATCTGTTAAATGAACATCTCGGCTCTATTGTATAATGATTGTAGTGTTCCGTGTTTATTTATTTCATCTAACTAACTACTCCCTAGTTTTTGTTATCCTGTATTGCTTTCATTTAGATTCTCGACATGACTACTTACTTGTAGAAATAACATTTTTAATTGTATTTTGCTTAAAATTATGTTTTTGAAATTTAGTTAAAATCCAGAAATTTAGTGAGGTTCTTGACGAGAAAAGCCACACAACCTTTGGCAATTCAGAAGCTTCAAAATGAAAATTTCGATTCTTAGTAAAATTCGGGTCTTTTGGAAAAGTCCGGGATTTTTGGCAGAATCTGGGACTTTTGGAAGATTTGTTGCTTATCACTTGTAACTTTTTCAAACAAGGTATTCAAGAATCTAATATTGAATCTAATAGCTGATCTTGAGCTTTTCTCTTCCCTTCGGTTGGGTAAATTTTACTACTGGCCACCTCAAGCCCAATTGCTTTAGAACGGCAAAAATTATATCTGCTAACAAGTAGCAAATGAAAAAAAACGCAACATTCAAAAGTAAAATGTTGTGGATGTTGTTGTAAAATGCATAAAAACACCTCATTGTTAGCATTTGTAGCTTAATTTCTCACCAAGCTACAGAATTTATTTTTTAGTGTTCAAAACAAAAAACCTGGAAAAACTGATTATCTTTTATGTTAAAGTTATTTTTCTGTTGTCCCAATTATTAAAGGCCGTGTTTCTCCCAAACTAAAATTGAGAGTCAATCTTTTACTGGCAATGAGATCAGCCGCGTTTTACTAAATTGGTTTATTTATCGTTTTTTCACCAAAATTCAATGATTTTATTCTTGGAGTGAGAAAAACGAATATTTTCTTT